AACTCCTGCTTGTGCCTGTTCCAGAGCTCCTCCCACAGCTCTTCTCCCTCTACACTATTCACGTGGCAATGCACTACACCCCAACCAGTCATGAAAAATAAATATCATTTAGTCAGACACCTTTATTAATTGGAACAGTACACTCGATGATTTGATAAAGGAACTTGATGAAGTCAAGGCGAAAAATGGAATTGTTAGGAGGTTAGAGGAGAACATTTGCTCACTTTTCCACTGCCTTTTATTCCTCATTTTCATCAGACTGCACATACACTGGCGCATACTTCGCATACCACTCGTCGTCGTAGTACGCTTCGTCATATTCTTCAGCAGCCTCGGTCTCCTCCTTTTCCTCCTCCTCTTTATATGCTGGCGTATGCTGCGTATACCGCGCGTCGTCGAAGGTCAGTCCTTCCCTCTCATCTTCTTTGTCCTTGTCACCCTCTTTCTTTTCCTCAAAGTCAACATACACTGGCGCATACTTCGCATACCACTCGTCGTCGTAGTACGCTTCGTCATATTCTTCAGCAGCCTCGGTCTCCTCCACCTCTTGTGCATCGGCCTTCACGGTATCGTTATAAGAATCGTATATGAAGACGTCGTAGTCTTCATTATCGTCCTGTTCATCGTGGCCGTCCGCTTGGCTGACGGCGTCCTTGCCACTGCTCTCCTCCCCACGCTCATCCCTCAACTGCGTGGCAATGGGAGTTGTGTAGGGCCTGGCCTTGGTGCAGGCAACAAGGAGGATGGCGGAGAGAGTGAGAAGGAATAACAGTGTCTTCATCTTTCCACGTGTGATGAAGAGTGCTCACATTGTCTGCTACTTATATAGGGGAAAGTGGCCTTGACCGATTGCAGGTGTAGACATCGTCTGATGGTGAGCATGGCAGCAGCTTAGAGGTCAGCGATTGGAATCAAGCCCAAAGTTGCGTGGGAACAGCACATAACAAAAGAGAAATGAATCAATGGAAAAAGCAAAAGTAGCGATTGGATGAATAGTTGGAGGAATAAATATT